AGACAAAAGAAGAGGTTACTGCTACATTCCACACATTCGGAGGCATCGGATGCAACTGCCAGCTCTGCTAGAATGCACGGCAAGCCAGTTAGGACTAATTTGAGGAAGGAGGTGAGAAGCAGCCACGGTGAGCTCCTTGATCCAGCAGCAGCCAAAACTGCAGTGGGAGAAGAAGAAGGATATCGTTGCGTCGAGGAGAGGAGAGAGAAGGACAGCGGTGGGAACTGGTGAGAGGATTGTTGACACAGAGAATGTGAGGGAGAGAAGTAGGTTATATAGAGAGAGTAGGAGAGTAGTATAGGCGGTAGAGCTTCTACACTGTTGTTGTATTGATTATTGATGGTGAGAAGTGGGGTTTTCTTCTTCAAGGGACTTTCGCGTTCTAATTTAGTCTGCTATTGGTTTTGTATTTCTTCTTTCTACTTTGCTTCGATATGCTTGTCCTGTGTTGAGTCTTTTGCAGCTCGGAAAATTTGAGTTCCTTTTAATTGGTTCTGTGCACTCACATTGATTGTCAGGTATGTGTGATGGTAAAATGCACACAGCACCCTGTGCATGCACATCCACGTATGTGTTTAGTGCCAATCGTCGCTGGTGTGCATGGGTCCTGGATGACTGTTTTGCTGATGCGTTTCGTTTGGAATGCGGCTGGGGGTTCCACATGGTCTTTTTCATGATTCTTGGATTGCAGCTAGCCCGAAGAGGACAATGAGGAGCAGCTTCCGAAGCTTTTCGTCACCCACAAGAGAGGATCAATCAGCACGGGAAGAGGAGCAATCTGGAGATGGTAAGGCACGATGGGCAATTGGGTTATTATTTCGCTGCATTCATTCACACTTGCTGTATCTCTGTTTCTGGAATGGAATTAGATGCGGACAAGGCTCTGGTGAAGGCGGCACACTTTTTCATTAAGGGCTCTTCCCTACATATTGCTGGTTGACAAGTGTAGAATCGGGAACAGTCATGATCCAAGTTGATTCTTGGGCATGTGTTGCTGGTGATTGTTGTTTTCGTTCACACAAACTTTTGCCGACATGTACGCTTGGGTAGTTGTGTGCACCGTGCTTGGGAGGGGAGGTGCATATGTGTCTCCTTTGTACATTTTGACCCTGAATGGTGTTTGCATGTTGGGCCATGATTGCTCTCTAGGGTGTGTCCCCATGCAGCTGCATTAGGTCATCCCTTGATTTGTTGATTCCTGCTCTCACCAGCACTCTTATTAAACCTCCAGTACTTGGCCCATACATCGGTTGCAGGGCCCTCACCGTGACTTCGGAGGTCATTAAACGCAAAAATGGCCGTTCATGAAATTTATCAACAACGATAAGACCCCGAAAGTTGCGGCACGTACATGGAAAGGGCCCGTGGCTGATGTACGGGCCAAGTACTGGTGGTTTAAGGCAACACAACTGCCAACTCGTCCCTCATCCCATGATTCCTGTTACGCCACCTTTATGTATAAATACAAGTAAGGATATTGATATTGAATGTTGATCACTTGGTGCCGACGTGAATTTCGTTAACTTGGTGTTCCCATGAGGAACATATGCACACATATTGACACAAATGGGCAAATTGTTGTCTATGGCTTGTTGTTTTTCCGAGTGTGAAAGCCGAGCATTTGTTTATTGATGCTAGTATGGATGTAAGTCGATACAAGTTAGAAGGCATATGCATTGAACCACATTGTTCGTCACCTCAAGCACATACACATTGAGAGATACGAATTCCACACTGGAGACCAGAGATGCAAAGTCCAAATTAGCGCAGCTTAGAAATTCCAATGAATTATCATATTAAGCAGTTTCAGAGTTCCAGCCACCAGCCCTCGTCTGCGCATAGTTCAGCAACCCATATCCAGCATCCGCATCCAGGTAGGTGACTCCCTCTCTCTGTCTCTCGTCTCCTCTCTCTCTCTGTCCCTCTTCTCCTCTCTCTCTGTCCCTCTTCTCCTCTCTCTCTCTGTCCCTCTTCTCCTCTCTCTCTCTGTCCCTCTTCTCCTCTCTCTCTCTGTCCCTCTTCTCCTCTCTCTCTCTGTCCCTCTCTCCCCCTCTCTCTGTCCCTCTTCTCCTCTCTCTCTCCCATCATGAAGATCTTGACTCTGGATACATCCACCTGCCACTCGGCTCTACTCCTTCTACTTTGCTGTGCGGCTATGGCCGCCTTCCTTCCACAGTGCAGCGCTGCCCAGCCAGGGCTCTTGCGCATGCCAACTCGCAGATAGCGCACAAGCACTCAGCAGTCTCGACACTTCTTGCATATTGCAATCAGACTCTCTTCTTTGCTACGCATACATGCAAACAGATGGCAACTGACATTGGCGCCAGGCGCCCATTCAAAGCTCAGAGATATGGACGTCGAGAACACAGTTCAGATGTAAACTCACTTCCACAGGCTATGGCGCATCAGTGCCTGTACATCCCAAGCTCAGAGATATGGACGTCGAGAACACCACTGTTCGCACATACTCAACTCTGGATCACCCTGAATACCCCACATGCATTCACTGTATCACACACTCACACACACACACTAACACGAGCTATGGCGGTTATGGCCGCCAGCTACTACAACCATAGTACGCTGACTCCTTCTAGCCCAGTTCAACCTCGGGCATCTGCAGACCACTTCGCACAAGATGTTCAGGCAGCGCTTCCGCATGGCTTGTGCAGGAATGAATGAATGGCTGGACGCTGTTTCTTGATTTATACTTCTGTAAGTCGCTGGTCTGCCCTTTTCCACCAGGCCCATGGTGCACACAGTCCCTCATGGTACTTGCTGACTGTACAAAGTGAGACTGGGACTGGGTACCGCTGACTAAGCGAAGTTGGACTCACCACTTGCCCACTTGCCTCTTGTCTGCTGTGGGTAACATGAGGAAAAACTTGAAAGGCCACTTCCGGACCTTCCGGAAGTCTGTGGACTTGGCCTTTCGGGATTGTAGTAGCTACGATCTTGACCTTTCAGATTTGCTATAGCTACGACCTCTAAACGACTATGACCCCTACTCAACAAACCTACAGATCGAACCCCTACAGCTACCCAGACGTACAACAGACTTCAGTCAACTACCAAAATGCAGGTCACGGGTTCAAACACACACAGGGGTCGACTCGATACTGTACACGGGTGTGGTACAGTCTAGGGGTCGAGCCCTCGGATCTGCATCTGCTACTGCTAAGGTGAAAACCATTTCACTCCCACCGGCCTAAATTCGAGGTCCTCCGAGAATACTTCAGTCTACGGTCGGAGTTTTACTTTTCTTATCTCTTTCGTAGGCTCGGACTATATCGGGAGCTGTCTCTAGAAGCTCTGTTCGGGTAAACCAGCGGTATTGTTTCTGCGGACGACCTCTTCCTCTTGTTCTGAAGACATCTTCACCTACTATGCCGTCGATGTCGTATCTTCCATCCATGTCTGGAGGGATCATGGATCTTCGTGATGGAAATTGTTGACTTGTGGTACAAGGCAACAACTTCAAGGCATGAAAAATTGGGTAGGTGTGGAGATGCGCTGGAATCTCTATTGTGTAGGACGGTCCATCCTCTCCGCCCTGACCACAGTCCTCTGTAAGCAGGTAACAGTTTTTGTGAGATGTTCTCCTCAGGAACAAACTCTTTTGACTTAACCCAGACTAAGTCACCTACTTGGAACTGCGATGGGCGACGGTGCTTATTGGCTTGCTCTATCATCGTATGCTGGGCCCTCCTGAGGTTCTCTACTACGGTAGCAATCTCTTTTTCATGTTGTATCGCAAACTCCCTAGGTCCGGGCGGTAGCCTCTGAATCTGATCCGGGTTGAGTCCCTCAAACGGTCTACGCGGTCTAAAGGACTTATGCAATTCGTTGGGAGTGCGACAAGTAGCTAAGTGCATGCTATTGTTGTATGTGCTGGCTACCTTTGGGAGCATCTCATCCCAATTGACTTGATCCGGTCGAATTTACATCCTCATAACTTGTTGCAGAATCTTGTTCATCTGTTCAGTCTGCCGTCAATCTCTGGATGACGGTCAGATGACATCAACAACCTAGAGCCATAAACTCTCATCAACTCCTGCCAGTTCCGACTAGTGAACCAAGTATCTCTATCGCTAACTATAGACAACGGTAACCCGTGATCACCGACCCAATGGTCGAAAAACATTTGTATTACTAACTATGTACGTGCCTCGGTCTGAGAAGACCAAGAGGGGGTCACGTAGTGGTCTTATTTTCCTGGCACACCTTGCAACTGCGTACATACTCTATGCACCCAGCCTTCATGCCAGGACAAGTATACGTGCGCATGAGGTTGGCTAATGTCTTTTGCCAACCAAGTGTCCCTCTGTGTCGTGGCATTCCCCTAGGATCAAACTACGGATCTCCTCACTGTTAGGAACACACAGACGGTCAACTACATTAGTCTTCTCGAATAGTAACCCATTAGTAGTGCGGTAGTCTGGTTCGGACTCTGGGGCCTCCTTAACTCTCTTGAGGAGGTCACTATAGATAGGATCCTGTGCATACGCTTCTCTAACTTTCTCTTGCAGGTCTCTCCCTATATCCAGATAGTGAACTATCGCTCCAAAGCAATCAACTCTCCTGCTTAGCGCCCGCGACTACGTTATACTTCCCTTTGACCGACTTGAGCTCAAAGTCAAACTGATCTATTTGTGCGGCCCACCTAGTCAGCTTAGGTGTCATCTTGGCTTGTGTCTTCAACCACCTCAGTGTCTCGTGGTCTGAATAAACTTTGAAGTGCCTCCCAAGCAAGTCGTGCTTCCAATGGTCTAGTGTTTGCCTGAGAGCGTAGAGTTCCCTCTCATAGGTTGATGTCTCTACCTTCTCTGAAGGCATCCTAGCAGACATGAACTCTACGGGTCTATCTCCATTGCCATCGTCTTGCTGTAAAACAGCGTCTATGCCATACCGACTTGCGTCAGTAGTAACAACGAAAGGCAGGGACGGATCGACTACCTTGAGGACTGGATACTCTATCGGAGCCTGTTTCAACTTCTCAGGGCCGACGTATAGTCTTTGTCCCACTTCCAGATTGCTTCTTTCTTTAGCAACCTGCGAAGGGATGCAACGATAGTGGAAAAGTTACTGACGAACTTTCTATAATAATTGGCTAGGCCTAGGAACGAACGCAACTCTGTCAGTGTGCGGGGCATTGGCCAATCTCTAATCGTTGTTATCTTGCTGTCCTCAAGTTTTATGCCGTCTCCATCTAAGTCGTGGCCCAAGTACAGAACTTGTGTCTTGGCCCACTCGCACTTCTTCGCGTTAATCTTGAAGTTAGCTTCTCTCAGCTTCTCCAAAACCTGCCTCAGATGGCCCACATGCTCCTGAAGGATCTTGCTAACAACTAGAATATCATCTAAGTACACTACAACGAATCTATCTAACCAAGGCCTAAACAAATCATTCATACAGCGCTGAAAGGTAGCTGGCGCATTCGTTAGTCCAAAAGGCATTACTATAAGCTGGTAGTGCCCATATCTAGTTCTAAACGCCGTCTTGTACTGATCATCAGGATGGACCTCTATCTAATGATAGCCACCTCTATCTGATGATAGCCTGACTTCAAATCTATCTTTGAGAAGTATTTGCAGCCCTGCACTCGATCCAGTAGGTCATCTATACGGGGAAGTGGTTTTGCATTCTTCACTGTGATGGCATTGAGACCCTATAGTCGATACACATTTTCAACTCTCCCTCCTCCTTGGTGACAAATAGAACAGGTGCTCCAAAAGGAGACGAACTGGGGCTAATCCACCCTTCTCAAGGAGTTCGTCTAACTGCTTGCGCAACTCCTCTAACTCCCATGGGGGCATTCTGTAGAGCGACTCGGAAGGAACCGGCACATCACCAAGTGAGAAAAAAATGAACTTGCACAAGGGAGACTGCAAAATACACGTGAGCTATGGCGCAGCTAGGAAGGAACCAGCACATCACCAAGTGAGGAAAAACTGAACTTGCACAAGTGAGAGTGCAACATCCACACATGTGAGCTATGGATCAACTAGGAAGGAACCGGCACATCACCAAGTGGGAGAAGAGTGAACTTACACAAGTGAGAGTGCAACATCCACACATGTGAGCTATGGAGCAACTAGGAAGGAACTGACACATCACCAAGTGATAGAAGAGTGAACTTGCACAAGTGAGAGTGCAAGATACACACATGTGAGCTATGGCGCAACTAGGAAGGAACCAATACATCACCAAGCGAGGAACGACTGAACTTGCACAAGTGAGAGTGCAGCAT